GCAGATACAATGGTCCGTCGATTGGAAATACTTCCATTCGCGTACGCTGTGGCGTAAATGAGCGCCAACGAAAGCAGCCGTTCGTTTCCTAAAGTTTTGACTCTCTGACCCAAGGACAAGACATCATTTTCATTGCCGCTGTTCGGGCCAGATGCGGTGTCATGGCTGGGTAGGTTATGTTGGGGCGTTGCAGGTGAACCAGAAGAAGGATTTGGGAATGATACATGTTGCCGTTGCTCTTTCTCTCGAAGGATTCGTCTCTGAAACCAAGCATTATGATGGTTCAAATCCATCTCACTTTCGAGTCCCTTCAGAGGAAGAGCTCCTCTGGTTATGCCATAGCTTGCGAGTAAATATTGACATTCTGTGTGGGATCCCAAGTGTACACGCGATTTGACGCGTTCACGATGCGGCAGTATTGAAATGCACGTCCTGGTTACCATGCATTCTATTGGATTGCTATAACATATGTGTAATCCGTCAATCCTTATGGGGAGACCTTTCTGGAACAAGTTAAGTGCTTCGAGGAACCCCGCCCCTTTCAAATGATCTTTATACTGTTCCACCATATAAGATACGATGACAGTTCCTTTGCTGATGTCTACCATTGTTTCAACACTGTTTGCTGACATGTAAAATCTGGCTCGCAACTCTGTGCGGACAGCTGTCTTGGATCGAACGCCGGGGAACTCCAAATGGATCATTCGTCCTGATCGATCACGAAATGGGGAGTATTGAAAATAGCCTTCCAACAAACAGGATAGGTCATCTTGGTCCAAATCTTGTACAGTGATGTCCCGAACCAAGCTTTCTGCACCAAAGAGGCCTTGTTTGTATCTAAAGAAGTTCATCAGTTTCTCAGCCGAAGCTTTTGGTTCAAAATGACTCGCTCGTAAGAAAGCCAACTGAAGTTCCCGATTGGAAACATAAGATGGGTCTTGCCTTTCCGCTGCTTCGTACGCAGTTCCTTCCTTCATGAGATTAAGATGTGTCTCTAACCCAAGAAGCAGGTCGTTGATCGTATTTTCATTCAGGTCAACTTCATTAGCAACTCCATGAAGCAATTCTTGCTCACGCTGAATCTGATCGAAAGAGAGATTCTTCATGCCTTCCATCAGCATGTCTTCATAATTGGAAACCCCGGGGAGTCTTATTCTTTTGCGGTTGCTTCCGCTTGGGGATGAGTTGTATCCGCAAAAACATGATGATGATTTTCTTGAGATTGCAACTGGTGTGCTCATGCTCGTGTTCTATTCCTTATTCTGCTTTTAGAATCATCAATTTCTAGGTATCAAGAACTCTATGGTTCCAATTGTGAAATAACTATTACAGCAAAACGCAAAACCTTGTTATGAAACTACGTATATTACCGCAACGAATGATGAACCGGGATTGGAAGCATCCTTGTTGGAAGTATTACTGTAGAGTTTCGCTGGCGTCAGCGGCGACGTGCGCAAGCAAAGGAATTAGATATACGCGCGTATTATTCTCGCACTTGTTACCTTTTTTGCCCACTTCCTCCCGGCGCGGGCCCGTCCAAGGGGAGAGCATAGAGTTATGCAATACCTTTTTGGGACACGTGGGAAAAGAAGACCGGCAATTTTGTACATATATAAAAAAGGCGGGGAACGGAAATAAACGAAAGAAGTGCAGTAATATCTTCGCCGCACAATGATCCGTTTCGGATGGATTTTCACTCCATCACAGAAAACAGGCTTTGGAAGGGCGCAATGACACCGACATGCATCCAAGTCAAATTGAAATATGAAGGCAAATAAAAAGAGTAATAGGTATAATACTATATCTGTGTAGTCCTAGTTGAATGCAGAAAATTGATTTTCTTCTACCGAAAACTTGTGCGCTGGCTGTGCTTGTAGCTGTTGGCTTACAATGATCGTTCTTTTTATAGTTTTCAGTAGTGCGTCGCTGAATGCGGTTTACCTCTCGTGCCCATCATGAGAAGAATAGTCCCAATAGAATAACAATAGCATTGTTGAATGTACTCATGCAGCAATTGCCAATGTTGTGGCGTTCCTCCTTGCAATCGCAGTTGCATGCTCTGGAACGACGGCTCTCTTATTATTTGTTCCAATACTAAGCCTGAGAAACACAATTTCTGTTCGTGAGTTCTTTGTCCTTCCTCTTGGGCTTCGATAGAGCTTTCCTGCGATATATGTTGGCATGACATTGCGATCGCCTCCAGATCATTGATCCCTTCTTCATACTGGCGATTTTGCTCTTTGAGGACACAATATAATCGAGAATCTTGAAGCATTATCCTGATCTGCTATACGTATGCCCATGGTCGTGGTAATCGACATTTTCTCCTGTTCGGCTTTCAAATTTAGAATGCCCAACTTTCGGAAGGTCTGAAGTCTTCGCGGCTGTACCAGGCCGCTTCACGGTCTTCCTTGTTAGGCATTGGATACATCCTCACCTTGGCTGAAGGATAAAATTGAACTTCGGCGCCTCCTGATTCTTGATATAATCCATTTTTTTTCGTGGATGTTTGCAAAAGGAAGACAGGAACGATTGGAAAGATTTTGTAACAGTCGTAAGAATCTTTGAAACACAGGTTATTAAGCCCCTATTTATTTATCTCATAAAGGTGGATGTTCAAGCCCCTATACATACCCTTACAGGTAGTATTAAAATACGACTCCTCCGACTTTTGACTAGCAGTAAGATGTTGTGGCTGACGAACAACAGCTGGAAACATGAAAGGCTGACCCTCTGTATCATAATCTCCTTGTTTGAATGAATCAATCAGGTAGTACTGCACGGCTGGCTGCAGATTCTGCTGGGTTCCAACTGAGTGTCTATGAAGGGGCAAGAAGGGTAGTCATGGTGGTATCCGAAGGCAAAGTACTGTAAGGTCTACGGTCCTGATGGTACCGGCACCGAGCGACGCTAGTGCTCAGTCGAAAATACTGTATCAAGTTTACACATTCCTGCCCAAATCGTTACTCTGGCATTGGTCTCCACCATCTTTTCATTGCTTCGCAGCATCATGTCAAAAGCATGCACTACGACAGTCGAAATTCATCACTTCTAAATAACCAGTATAATCGAAGTATTGCAAGTGTTACACCACATTTATTATTTGTTCAATACAAAACAACTTGTTCAGCTCCTAGCATCGCCCGTTCAATTCTTAGGCCTCCTCCTTGTCCAAAGGAGTGATTTCAGGAGCCTCGGGTCCCATGATGGTCGACATGATCTTTCCACTGACCAAGTAAGGGTCACAGTTGGAAGAAGGTCTACGGTCCTCAAAGTATCCCTTTCCTTCGTCCCAGGTGTCACGTCCGATTCGGACCGAGGCTCCACGGTTGGCAACACCAAAAGTGAAATCGTTAATGGAGGCAGTCTCGAATTTTCCGGTCAATCGAAGTTCGTTTCCTTCTCCGTAAATGGCAATGTGTTCGGCGTGCTTCTCGCCCAACTTGTAGATGGCCTTCTTGATTACCTCAAGCCCACCTTCTTCTCTCATTGATTTGGTGGAAACGTTGGTGTGCATACCGGCACCATTCCAGTCTCCCTCGACGATTGGCTTGGGGTGAAGCGTGCAGTAGACTTGGAAGTCTTCACAGACTCGTTGCAGGATGTATCGGGACATCATAAGTTGGTCACCAGCATCAATTCCGACGCATGGTCCGACTTGGTATTCTTGTTGTCCAGGCATGACCTCTCCGTTGGTCCCAGAGATGGTGATTCCGGCGTAAAGGGCAGCCTTGTACATGGCGTCAACGATGGCTCGTCCAAAAGAGTTCTCTGGACCGACCGAGCAGTAGTAGGGACCTTGGGCACGGCTGGGCATGCCACCTTCGGGCCAACCAAGGGGTGTGCGCTCATCCAAGTTGAAGAGGGTGAATTCTTGTTCCATTCCGAACCAGACTTCTTCGTCGTCCATGCCTTCAAATGCCTTGGCGGCTGAGGATTAGAAAGAAAAAAATCAAAGAGTGGAAGGAAATGAATGGGTGAGCAAAGCGTATTGATTGGAGCAAAATGATTGAGTTTCCAAGACGGATGCAGATGACGAGCGGAATACTAATGCAAAGCAGTGTCTTGACGACCAATCGACGTCTAGTCCTTGTCATCATTATGTTGTTGTTGTGACTTACCAAAAGCACGGTTGTTGGTTTCCAAAGGTTCTCCAGCGGGAGTGTAGGTATCGCACATGACAAGGATATTGTCGATTCCGTCAGAGCGAGGGCGGAAGGGGTCCTTGAAGATACGGCATGGACGGAGGATGACCTCGGAGTCGTCACCTGGAGCTTGGTCGGTGGAAGATCCATCAAAGTTCCACTTTGGCAAGCTTTCGACAGACTTTCCCTTGGCAGCAGGAAGAGTACGAGTCTTGGAACGCGTATTTCCAACGGCATCGGTCCACACGTACTCGGCAAGGATGCTGTCCTCAGGGAAAGGAAGAGAGTTGTATTTGGCAATGACGGCAGGATCCAAAGAGGACTGTCCGGTGGTCTTGGAAAGGACACCAGCGTTCAAGGAAGTAGACAGCTTGGGTGCCATGGCAGGGGCAAAGGCCAAAGATTGGGCGGCAAAGCCGAGAGCAAAAACAAGGGAGGAGGTAAACTTCATGATGAGGAGTGTGTACCGGTCGGTAGTATTCAAAATTATGTGACGACAAATGCCGACGACGGAATCAATCGAACGGATGGCAGAAAATTGATGGATCTTCCAAATTCCGGCAGAGGAAATACAGGAAGCGGTAAAAGAAGGAAAAAACAAAAGGCAGGTATCGTATAATCTTGGTCAACAAATTTGCTTGCGTCTACCAGTTTCTACATACGGTACGTGACGGGAGCAGGTCCCATATCCAGGTTACTTAGATTTCAAAAAAGGCGAATCAAAAATATTGTTCGTCACGGAGAAACTCACCAATGCTACAGGCAAAAAAATTTCACACACATCAAAACCCAAGTCGCAGCTCAAATGCGCTATAACTTTGGTGACAACGAGAAGTAAGAGAGAGGCCTTGAACCATGGCACGAGGACGGCCTTCAGGAAGCAAGAACAAATCAGGTCATTCGGCCGGAGGAGATAGAAGATCAAGGAAGTACAAGAAACGATTGGAAGAAGAAAAAGGGGAACAACAACGACGCACCGATAATTTTTTCAAACAGAGAAAGAAAGCAGTGGATCCTCCCAAATGGACAGATCATCCAGTATGCGAAAAAAACTTTGAAGAATCGCAAAGAATGCTTGCAGAAGTGCTTGATCACCCGTCAATGCCCAAAGGGAAAAATGTGCCTACACTTGGTATCATTGACTCTACATCCGACAATTGGAATGTCACCTATGACACTTCGCCTACTACAGACAATGAAGCCAAATACTACAGAAGGTCGATTATGCCTCCCAAAGGCACGCCATTGCAAGCATTTCTTGATCATGCGAAGGGTCAGATTGAAAACAATGGCCTCTGGAAGTGCCGCCAATACTACTATCGGACGCTTGAGTCACCATTGACATGTGGCCTTGGGTCGTCGCCAGCTCCAGACAAGTTCTATTTGCCAGATATGGTTCGGATTTGGAAACCCAAGGAACAGTTCCACAGCATTCAGTTTGATTACAAGTGCCCCCACTGCAAATCTTGTTCCATAGAACACAACGCACAGACTTGGCGGCCAGCATTTGAGCACAATGAGATCAGATGGGTCTATTGCCATCGCTTGCTCTGCAAAGATTGTAATGCTATGTTTAGTTCAACTGATCCTTCTTTCCTTGGAATGCTCCCCACAAGCATTGCAGAAAGCTTTGAGTTTGTCTTCCCGCCACAAGGACCTGGGGTGCATCGAGTCATGCTTCGTCGGTTGTCACTGCAAATAGACAATCATGTCCTTTTTGGAGCATGGGCCCGTGAGGTCAATGATCTCTTGTGGGAAAAGTACTTTCAAAAGTGCAATCAGTACTATGAAGTCTTAAATGATTGGCTTGCAAAGTGGCCGTCACCTTCCTGCTATGACAGCACGGTGCCTTTGCATGCAAGGGATGGAAAGGGACAATATGATGGCCGACCGATTGTCCCCTACTCAGCATTTGGTGCAGCTGGGCATCATAATGGAATCATGATGACAGAAGGCCTGGCAAAGACACTGTTTCGGCTTGTAGAAGGCGGCAAGAGATTTCAATATAATCAGAATTCTTTTGCCGCATGGCACGATGGCGGCTTGCGAGCTGATGACACCTTCAAGCTTCCGAAGAAGGTGTATGTGACAACATCGGGAGGGAACCGGGTGAAGCCTTATGCTTCTGTACTGACTTTGCTATCACAGTGCGGAAAGATTGTTGCTGCTGTCTGGAAGACAAGCATGTCCCACGCTGCAAATAGGCTTATTCTGCCGGGACTTAAGATTGCAAGGGACCATGTTGGCGCGCCACCTTTACGTCTACTCCAAACAGACAATTCTATAGGGGAACAAGCACCTTACTATGAAGTATTTCCAGAACTGGAGCAGGGCACAGTGGCTCGTGCTTCACTGCCAATGATTGAAATACCGCCTGATGACATTGTTTCTTTTGATGTTGGCAGTGTCTTCAATGCTTACATCTTGACGCTAATAGACATCTTCATTCAGCATGAGGATCAAGAAATCTACTATGGTTTGGATACAGAGTTTGAGAGAGACAGCAAACTTACAGTATTGTCGCTGGCATTCCCTCAGTCATTGAGAGGATCAGAACTAGGAACAACAATCCCTATTGCCATTGTCATTCACCTACACAAGATTGGCAAGGAGCAGTTCCCTGCTGACTTAAAGCGCCTCTTGGAGCTTCCAAGTATGATTCCAACCGGACGCTTGATTGGAGGTGATTGTAAGAAGCTAGAGGAACAGTATGGTATTAAGTTCAACAGAATGATTGAGCTAGGTAACTTGTGTCGATTGGACAATGGTGAGCTTTCAAGCTTTTCCCTTTGCAACTTGATGAAAGTGTACCTCCAGTGCATGTACCCGATGAACAAGTCAGCTGCGCAGTTGTCTAGCTATGCAAAACCAACACTGACACCTACAGACAAACAATACTGCGCACTTGATGCAGTGGTCTCACTATGGGTTTTTCACCGGACGGTAGAATCATTAGCAAATGGCATTGGTAATCAACATCCAACTTTGCAGGTTGGGAAACGGTGTACGGTGACACATAATGCAAAAGACATTGCTTTTGGGCATCTGATCTTTGTTGGTGCCGGAGGCGAACAGATGCGGTGGGGTGGTATGACATTGGGCAGAAGGGACTGCCTTGTTGCTATTGAAAGTCTTATCGACGAAGACTTTGAACCAAAACGAAGGAACTCGACTTGGCCAGCAACTGCAGAGACAATGAGAGAGCTTCACAACAATGTTCCCAATTTAGGACTGGCAGTGGCTGCAACGCAAGTCAGGATCCATCTAGATGGCAGTGAATGCCAACCATCGAGCACACCGGAGATGCTAAGTGAGGCCACTATTCAATCCTTCCAAGTTGACAAGAGCTATCTTGATGTGCTTCTTTGGAAGGCAACTGAGGCAGTACCAATGGAAGACGGGGAAGATATTGATCTGCTGGTTGAGGGTGAAGAAACTGTGAGCAGCAGTGGGAAGACCAACAAGGGTGAGGCTGAGACTGGTGCATTGACAAACTCGCTGCGTGATCTTTTTCACCAGCTTCATTGCCTACCATTATCAAAAAAATCTCCGGCTATTGCACATGTTCTCCAGCTGGTTCTTGTTGCAACTTGGATCAGTGACGAAGAGGATTATGCAAATGTTGTTGAGGTCTTGCAAAACAAAGGCGAAGAGGATGTCGCTGTCCACGAGTTCCACAATCGTGGCTACTGGCGGGAACGTGTTCGAAGAAACACACCATTGCCCCAGGATCATGCAAATAATATTCGAGTGGTGCAACATGAAATTTGGAGCAATTGTGGATTTGTCAGCATTAGAACCAAGGAGATAGCACAATGGTTTGATAAGTTTGCTGAAAATGCTGAGAATGGATTTTACTACATACCTCCAGATATGAGAATGTACAGGATTGATAGGGTGGATTGTGATGGATTGAAGGTGTACACCACAGACTTTGGAACCAATCTCAACGAATCACTGCATCAGAAATACGCGGACTTGGTGGGACCATTTGCAGTGGGAGCCGAAACTGCAGATGTCCTGCTAGTCAACCGATCATTCCGTTTCAATATTGCTGTTGGAATATCAAAATACGGTGAGCCAGACTTTCATACTGAGCGACATGACATTGTTGATAAGACGCAGCACTGGATGATGCACATCTTTGCAACTTATGCTTGGCCAACACACAAGAACTTACTGGATTTCAGCCCACCAAAGAATGCCACTCTTGTAGGCCTTCGCCCACTTCCGCTTGATGAAAACCATGTGAGATATTCCAAGTTGCCAAATGCAGGTCTAACGCCAGATCACAGATACTTGTCACAGAAACTGGGGGTCGAGATTGCACCAGTGCCTCTATCAACCAAAGATGAGTTCCAATTGTATACTTTCCACATCAGGGGGGTTGTTGCGATGTCAAGGAATCCAAACCAAAACGACTGGGATAATCTTGCAAGAAAGTTTCTTGAGAAGGCAAATGGAAAGACCATCTTTCCAAAGACAGAAGATCAATTGAAAAAATATTTCATTCATTGGAAACAGAACCAGTCCAAACGCCTCTTTGGAAAGGTGGTCAACATTAAAAACTCAAAAGTTTTCAAGCAACTCCAAAGCCAAAAGGCGTCCTCCATTTCAGTGATACACAAAACAAAACTACCAACACAAGTTGAAGGCACATACTATTCCCACAAGCAGCCTTTGGCCAACAAGGTAAATGTAGTGCCCCCAGATGTGGCGTACAATCAAATCAACCATGTGCCATTTGAATCCAAGCTGCAAAAGAAATCAAAACAGAAAAAGGGGCCAACCACAATTGAAGACCTACAGAAGAAGTCATCGAGGGACCTCAAACGGGTTGCTCATCGATGTGTTTGGTTTCCCTATTGTCAAAAGCAAGTATGGGCCTGTGGGGGCAACAAATTTTCCAATTGCAAGTTCATCAATGAAGAACACAAAATCAACAAAAAGTCGAGTGCTGAGATCGACAAAAGAAGGAAGTTTGTCAGACTGGAGAAGGAGAAAGAAACTGCAACAAGGGCTCGAAAAAGGCAGAGGGTAATAAAGGGCATTGTGGCAAAAGCAAGGATACAAAAAAGCAAATCAGGTTCTCACCTCAGAACGAAAGTGATTGAAGGAACCAAAACGTCCGAAGCCATTACAATTCCAGAAGAAGAGTATCTGAGCCAAAAATGTATTGTGTTAGGCAGTGGGAAAATCATTGCAGACACTTTGCTTCAGGCTCTTGCGACACCTACCGTTATGATTGATGATGAAGTTGTCAATGCATACCTATCCCTTCTTGTGGACTTGGCGCATTCCTCAAGAAGAAGAGCAGGCGTTGGGACAACTCAATCGGGGATCTGGCAAATGCTTACAAATCGTCACTACACATGGAGGGAAATCTATCCAAATCTGAATCGACCACACCGAGTGAATCTCATCCCAGCATTCTTTGGAAGCCGAGCGGCTGGGCATTGGGGAGCCCTAATCGTGGACAATGAATGCTCACCTGGGCAAAGAAAGATTATCTATGTTGATAGTATATCATCTGTAAGAAAAGATAATTTCAACACAGTAAAACGATTGTTGAGACAGTGGGAGAGTGATACGAACAATTTTGTGCAAATTGACTCACCCAGCCAGGCCTCGGGCTCCAATGATTGTGCAGTGTACACTCTTGCTGCATGTGCTCACTACGTATTCCGCACTGGCGATTTCCTGCCAACTTCATTTCAATTCCAAAATGGTATTAATGCAACCCGGTATGGTCGAGAGTGGAGACGCCATGTTCACAAGTCAATCATGAACCAGAGGATTGATATGAGCGACCCCGTTCTCGGTTGGATGGTTCTTCGACCATAGAATAGGAGATAAATTAGAAATGTTCTAAATCTCATTTGACAGGATTACTAGTCTTCCAATCCAACGTTTCACGCAAAGTACTTACAGCAGAATGACAAGTAGGTAGTAACAACGATACCTTCTTGTTTTGTCTTGCTGCGGTATTGAATGCAAATGCTTCGACCGACCATCGAAAAGGCAAAGCACCTTGAATCTCAATTAAGCAGTGCAGTAGCAAGATAAATCCCACTCCGCTTCTGCTTTCAAGTGGATTGTTAGATTTATCAATACCTTCTTGTTTTGTCTTCCTGCGGTATTGAATGCAAACGCTTCAACCGACCATCGAAAAGGCAAAGCACCTTGAATCTCAATTAAGCAGTGTAGTAGCAAGATAAATCCCACTCCGCTTCTGCTTTCAAGTGGATTGTTGGATTTATCGATACCTTCTTGTCTTGTCTTCCTGCGGTGTTGAATGCAAACGCTTCGACCGACCATCGAAAAGGCAAAGCACCTCGAATCTCAATTAAGCAGTGCAGTAGCAAGATAAATCCCACCCCGCTTCTGCTTTCAAGTGGATTGTTGGATCGCTGCATTCTGATCAAACGGCGCCTCCTGTACACAAATCGAGAGCGCCGATGCCGATTTGTTACTTGTTGGAGGCTGGCGATCGTAGTGTTGTCAATTGAACCAATGATGATGATGATGCTTGCAACCAGCTCCCGTCAAAAACGGTACGAAAACGGACGAAAAATGCCTCTGCTACAGTCATATCCGGGTCGCTTAGCGGCTCTATTTTTTGAAATCAAATATTATTCGTCTGTTCTTCGATCTTTGGTGATTCCAAGCGGAAATGTGCCGTCATCGTAGGGGTAGTATGAAAAATACGGCGATTTTCAAATATTCATCACCTATTTTATGGAATACCTGCCGAAACAAACACGTCAGTAATCCATTGCAGCGTTTATATACGTCTACTTTTCAACCAAAGCACAGCTGATTCTCCTGTAGTGAAGTGGTTATCACTCTTGACTTTGAATCAAGCATCCCAAGTTCGAATCTTGGCAGGAGAATTCCTTTTTTCCTTTTTTTTACACATTTTGCGTTTGACGGCCCAACACCGGTACATATGGATAAGGACAGCTTTGACTTCACTTGTATATATATATGGAGACCAGGAGACCAGTTACTAATACTCTAACCCCTCCTCTTGTTGTTCTCATCGGCAGTCTGCTTGTCAATATTCCTGCAGCGAGTTTTTCAGTGTGGCTTTTCCTAAAAATACTTTAGGAACCAAAACAACAGATTCAGTTAAGTTTGGAAACACGCACGAGGGTGTAACGCGCGGCACTTATTATTTGCGGAAATCCGTCGGTTCATCAAACTTCCCGAACAAAATTGAAAATTCGATTGATTCTGCCGGCAATGTATTTACAATACTGATGTAATTTCACGTAGTTGAAGTTGTTCTTTCAAAATGAAACCCTATGTATTTTTCAATGAGTCATGCTATTGAATAATGTCGATGAAGGGGAGGAAGCATTATTTGCAATATGCGAGGGAGATCAGAAGGATGACTGGATGGATCTTTGAATTTGACATGACTTTGATGATGACGGCCGATGACAGCATCTCGACAAAACGACGACGAACGACAGGACGGCAGCCACGATAGTCAAGAATAGGAAGGAAACCATGATGCTTGATTGATTCACTCAAGAGGATGGGTTTCAAGCACTTTCAAGCACCTCCAAGCTATCATATCGGGTACTGAGATCCAGCAATAGCCTGTGTGTGATATTTTCAAGTTACTTTCGGCCGGAATAGACATGCTGGAATTGTCGTATTGGATCAGAACGATGAGGCAAAAGAACAGTCTTGTATTTGTTGTCATTCCTGTCAGTAATGGTTTTCAATCAGCACAACCAATGGCATGTCCTCATCGATTGGATTTAAATATCAGAGTCCAGCAGAGGCAATGAAATCATCTTCGTCTCTATAGTGTTGTCCGCCCCATCTTTTGATTGGATTATCAGAAGACTACTATAGAATCAAGTCAGAGACAAAGGAATCAGCTCAGAAAGGAATAGTAGAAACAATAAGAGCAGTCAGTTTCTATTCGTGTTTTCTATTATAGGGCTATGCTCCCTGCTTCTGTTTCTCCATGTTTGATGACTATTGCTTGGGTTCTTTTGCATGACATTCATTCATGATGTCCTAGCTGCGGCCATATCTATCTCCTTGTCTTAGGCTGGCATCGTCTCTGACGACGATGCAATCAATGAGAAAAGGATTTGAATGAATGTTGTACCACCTACTTGCTGGAATAATGCATTGCAGGAGCCTTTTTCGTGTGGCGAATCATGTTTATTGTGGCTGAATGTACCAATCACCGTGATTGACAGGACCTGAATGCTGGCATTGCTCTTCTGTTGGCAATCATGCAGTATGCAATATTTTTCATCGTTTCACGTCCCATAGAGGTGGAGTGATGACAACCAAAATATCTTTTGATTTGTGCTTCGGAAGTCAAAAAAGATAGATACCACCTTATCACTGCCATGAAGGTATGTGTACGGCCGATGGACGTAGTGGAATTCCGCTGTTCCTTTTAGCTTCATAGCTCAAACCGCTGATATCAGTTCACCCGAAGGTGATAATAGAATATGAAAACTTCATGCTTCTCGAAGAAAGTGCAACACTGCTAAATTGACAATCGCCAGGACATGCGGCTTAATTATTCGAATGGATGTCTTGCGATATTATTTCTCGTACATGGATTTGGACCTGTGCCGAAGAAAACCGCAGCGAAATGGGCTCGTAATTGTTCTTTTGAAATGAATGAATCGCTGGTATACGTGCACTGGTACTGGTACTCGTTCTTCATACATCGCTTTCCACCAAGTGAGATACAATGCAATGATACAGTTTATTGCAGTATTATTGCTGCACTCGCTTTTTTTTCTTCATGAAGGATGAGACATCCGTTAATGTCAACTTAGTATCATCACTGTATTGGCATGTCAATGCTGTCTTTCGTTCCAACTTTTTGGTATTCCTTTTTCAATTTTCTTTCTCATTGCACTATTCACCATATTGAAGTTGGCCGTTGCTACGACTGTTTACAAATCTGATGTTGTTGTATTTTGTACCGTACCGGTAGGACATATTTGGCTATCTAAGATAGCCTACTGCCGTCCTCCGTGTGTGTGTTCGTAGTATTTTGTCTTGGTGTGTGTAGCATGCAGGCTCTTACATGATGCTGGTGCAATTTTTAGTGAATTTTCAGCCAATGAGAGTTAGTCAAATCACTAAAAATCAACCCATTTTTAGTGGTCTAAGCCAATCACAGCGGGCCATTCACTAAAAATAGAATATCTCCACTAAGTTAGTACTCATCAAAAACACATCTTAACGCGCCAAAAGACTTCACAACAGGTCCCCAAAAAGCATTGACTTTGATGAGGCAACAGCAGCGACACGTATGCTATGAAACGAAAATCAACGTCATCACAGAGGCCAACCCTCGATGGCAAACATAAGGAAAAGATCTCCCAGGGACAGAAACGAGCACATGCTGAGAGATTAGAAGCTTCAAGGCAAACAAATCAAGCAACCTTCATGAACTCATTGTATGCCAATGTTCGACGGCAGCAAGCTGAAGCTAATGCAGCTGAACATTCTGAGCAGAATCCGGATGGTGAAGGAGAAGATGAAAGGAATGCTAGCATACCAATCATTGACCAGCCTCCTGAGCTAATTGAACGACATGAGGGTATGCCTATAGTTCCAAATCTTGATATCCTTGACGATGAAGAGTTTGTGGACGAAGATCTCACTGAGGAAGAACCTGAGCTGACGATCATGCACAGATATCTCCAAGCAATCCAAAAACGGCTGCAGTATGAGACTTCCCCCAAGTTTCCAGCATTGGAAAACAAATGGCTCAACGAATTTCTGGGGGAAAATGACTGGTGGATCCATCGGCATCAGTACCGCTCTATCTGTAGATTACTGCAAATCCAGTACAAAGAGGAAGAAAACGAGGCTGCATACTTTAGAAAGGTTTATGTTTGGTTGCCTGATGTTAGATGGGGTCCATCTTGCATGCCGACTTGTGCTAAATGTGGCTCCAATACCACTGTCAGGAATAATGGCTTCCGCGACAACCATTTTGGGCGCAGAGTAGTCGCACTTGATCATGACTACTACTGTATTTCAAGGCGGTATCGGTGTAATAATTGTGAGCAGAAGGCAAGAGAGGCAAAGATAGCTATTCAACAAAGTGCTGCCGCGAACAATATTGCGATCCAATTCACCGAAGAGACGGACAGTGGACAGCAGTATTCATTCATGGCATGGAACAGAAAAACACTTGAGCTGTATCCACATGGTATCGGGCAAGAATTCCCCGCATTTTTGACCCATAGGTCTGGAGTGGATCGCCTCCTTCTGGACATGATGCGCCCACTTTTTGACAAAGGCTTACGACCTGGGGCATTTGCAGACACCATTCTGGAACTGCATGCAAAGCGGTACCATCAGGAATGTCTAAAACATGAACTTGAACTAGCAAAGACAGCCAATCGCTATCACAGACCTATGCTTTCAGCATTTGGAGACACATCAAAGTACAACGGATTGGTCCCAACTGGTTCCTATCTCATGTATGTGTACAAGTTGTTTCACAGCACCATCAAGGACTTCCTAGACACTGAAGTAAAGAAAAGGGGCGCCAAAATGATTTGTGTTGATGCCAGTTACAAGGAGCCAAAGCATCTTTGTCAGTATCATGGCCAGAATCTGTTTAAGGGCCTGATCACTGTCACAAACGAAATTGGGGAAATACGATTGCAATTCCACGTGGTCACAGATGACCACGAACAATTTCGACCATCGTTGATTGCGTTTTTGGAAACAGTGAAAGCATACGGCCAAAATCCGTTGGAGCTTGTCTTCACAGACAATGTCCAGGCCGATAGGCAATTTTACTTGGACACGTTTCCTTCTTTGGCTGAAGCCCAAGCTCGTCTTGATAGAATTGTGACCGGCGGCAACGAAGAAAGCGGTGATGAACAAGACAACACTTGCACAGTCGACGATGACCAATTTTTTGTAATTTCAGAAAGAGGTGAGATGAACAGATTTGTCACAGCACTTGACGAAATCATGCAAGACAAATCCGCAGAGGATCAAGTGGTCGGGCTTGATGCAGAATGGAATGTCAATATAGCCAGCTATGGAATGCCAAAGAAAATTGGAAAACTTGCACTACTAATTCTGGCCTACAAAGACAGTGACGGGCGTCACAAGGCTGCTCTATTGAGACTGCATAAGTTCCCTTCACTTCCGCATCGCTTGCTTGCTTTCTTGGTCGGGGGAACAAAGTTTGTCGGGAATTATGTAGGTGGTGACATTAAACGGCTCGGACGTGACTATCACTGTGAGGATGAGATGAAGAAAGTTTCAGTAGTCAACAACGGATTGGTCCCAACTGGTTCCTATCTCATGTATGTGTACAAGTTGTTTCACAGCACCATCAAGGACTTCCTAGACACTGAAGTAAAGAAAAGGGGCGCCAAAATGATTTGTGTTGATGCCAGTTACAAGGAGCCAAAGCATCTTTGTCAGTATCATGGCCAGAATCTGTTTAAGGGCCTGATCACTGTCACAAACGAAATTGGGGAAATACGATTGCAATTCCACGTGGTCACAGATGACCACGAACAATTTCGACCATCGTTGATTGCGTTTTTGGAAACAGTGAAAGCATACGGCCAAAATCCGTTGGAGCTTGTCTTCACAGACAATGTCCAGGCCGATAGGCAATTTTACTTGGACACGTTTCCTTCTTTGGCTGAAGCCCAAGCTCGTCTTGATAGAATTGTGACCGGCGGCAACGAAGAAAGCGGTGATGAACAAGACAACACTTGCACAGTCGACGATGACCAATTTTTTGTAATTTCAGAAAGAGGTGAGATGAACAGATTTGTCACAGCACTTGACGAAATCATGCAAGACAAATCCGCAGAGGATCAAGTGGTCGGGCTTGATGCAGAATGGAATGTCAATATAGCCAGCTATGGAATGCCAAAGAAAATTGGAAAACTTGCACTACTAATTCTGGCCTACAAAGACAGTGACGGGCGTCACAAGGCTGCTCTATTGAGACTGCATAAGTTCCCTTCACTTCCGCATCGCTTGCTTGCTTTCTTGGTCGGGGGAACAAAGTTTGTCGGGAATTATGTAGGTGGTGACATTAAACGGCTCGGACGTGACTATCACTGTGAGGATGAGATGAAGAAAGTTTCAGTAGTCAACAACGGATTGGTCCCAACTGGTTCCTATCTCATGTATGTGTACAAGTTGTTTCACAGCACCATCAAGGACTTCCTAGACACTGAAGTAAAGAAAAGGGGCGCCAAAATGATTTGTGTTGATGCCAGTTACAAGGAGCCAAAGCATCTTTGTCAGTATCATGGCCAGAATCTGTTTAAGGGCCTGATCACTGTCACAAACGAAATTGGGGAAATACGATTGCAATTCCACGTGGTCACAGATGACCACGAACAATTTCGACCATCGTTGATTGCGTTTTTGGAAACAGTGAAAGCATACGGCCAAAATCCGTTGGAGCTTGTCTTCACAGACAATGTCCAGGCCGATAGGCAATTTTACTTGGACACGTTTCCTTCTTTGGCTGAAGCCCAAGCTCGTCTTGATAGAATTGTGACCGGCGGCAACGAAGAAAGCGGTGATGAACAAGACAACACTTGCACAGTCGACGATGACCAATTTTTTGTAATTTCAGAAAGAGGTGAGATGAACAGATTTGTCACAGCACTTGACGAAATCATGCAAGACAAATCCGCAGAGGATCAAGTGGTCGGGCTTGATGCAGAATGGAATGTCAATATAGCCAGCTATGGAATGCCAAAGAAAATTGGAAAACTTGCACTACTAATTCTGGCCTACAAAGACAGTGACGGGCGTCACAAGGCTGCTCTATTGAGACTGCATAAGTTCCCTTCACTTCCGCATCGCTTGCTTGCTTTCTTGGTCGGGGGAACAAAGTTTGTCGGGAATTATGTAGGTGGTGACATTAAACGGCTCGGACGTGACTATCACTGTGAGGATGAGATGAAGAAAGTTTCAGTAGTCAACTTGGGACGTTATGCAAGAGATAGGGATGTTGTACAGAGTGGTACAGTCAGATTGGATGCTCTTGTTCAGATTTGTTTGGGCGAAACCATGCAAAAACAAGCCAGTGTTCGTGTCTCAAGTAAATGGGAACAGCCCTCATTATCGCAGGATCAAAAGAAGTACGCAGCACTGGATGGGATCAAGTCACTGGAGGTGTACCTTTACCTTCGGCAGAAACCAGACCTATCAGTTCGGCTATCAGTTGAGGAAGCAAGAGCTGGCCTTTGTATTGACGTTGCTCCACTTCGTGGAGGAGCCCTCAGCATGGTTGCGACTAGGTGCGCAACTGGCACATTGACAGAACAAACTTATGATGAATGGGAAGTGCCAAGTGATATGAGACTTGACACTGGACAGATCAATAAACGACGATACCGCGTTGTGAATGTATGTTCTGTGGTCGCACCACATTATATTGTACCATATGTGAAGAAGAAAGAAAGTGGAGGGCCTGTTTGTCTTGACGACTTTGGGGCTCCACCATTCTTTGTCATTCTACCTTTGACCATGTTGAAGCAGCACATAGAATCAGATACAATTCGCCCTTTCCCAAATATGAACCCAAATGTGAATAACATGACCGGAGCAACCGGAGGAGCAATTCCACCGGCACCAATAGTGCCGCCAGCACCGCCAGCACCTCCGCGGATTATGCAAAACCAATTGTTCGATCAGAACGAGACTTTCACGGAGGAGGATACTGGACAAATAGGAACAATGGACCAATTGGACGGTGATGCTGAAACTGCAGCTGTCAATCTATCCAACAAAGATGTGGAAATGCTACACAAGGTGTGCCTCCTTGGAGACAAAGCAGCTTTGGGAAATGACTTGTTGGCGTGTGCACATCTTGACAACGCTCCAGACAAAATCACTGACTGTTTTTCGGCTGTTGTTGGTGATGTCTTTCATTTAATGGATCGAATGAAAATTCCCACTCACCATGAGTTCAAAAAGGCTTTCAAGGTCGCATTACGAGACAGTGTTTTGCAATGGAGCCCTCCTGAGCTGGAAGAGGTGAAGACCGCAGTGAAGGCAAAAGATGGAAAGACTGACGATGAAATTGATGCTGACATGTATTTCAATGCAGCCTTCTGGAAGGCATGCGTCCCGAGAAGGGTCCTACCTCCTCGGTTGCTATATTGGAGGGTCCGAGCTGTATTTGTTTCGTTTGGAGGTATGATTGACTCGACAAGCAAGAAACCGCTTTTCAACAAGACAGCATGGAAGAAAGCCAACAATATTTTGAAAGAAATCTTGCGCGGGTATTATTCTGATCCTCCAGGATATTCGTTTTATTCTACAAAGTTCAACAAGAGAGGAGAGCCAATGGTCAATGCCTACGGTTTTGATATTCTTTCTTGCAGACGTGGGACCAATGACGTGGAATCGACTCACAAGTTACTTTTGTCAATATTTGGCACTTGGCATATTGGGCTTCAGATGTCGGATTGTTTGCTCAGAGAGAGAAGGCATCGTCATAATCAAAGATGTTCAGAGAAACGCCGGTTGGGCCATCCTTGCATAGGGCATTATGACACTTGGCTGATTGACGCTCTACAGATTCTGGTACAGGTCAATCATGGGATCTTGCTCCATCCAAATTGGATCAATTCAAGCGACTTCAAGAACACGCAAGAAAAGTTTGGGACGATTACACTGCATGATGCTGAGTTGGCGGAAGCACTTGCAAAAGTTCAGATTGACGAAAGTGTGCGGCTGACTCATGATATGCAGTATTTGTGTTCTGTGATGGGAACAAAGCTTCCGTTGTTACCTGTTCACACTATTGACGAGCGCAGGCACTTCTCAAATCTTGTTGTACAGCTTCAAAACGGCCAGGATAAATCTTGCAAGAAGATGGCACTGGAATGGACAAAAGCGGTGAACGGTGTTACCATTTTTCCAAAGCTGCCGGTACATCTTCGAAATTATCGCGACAAGTTTGAGCGGAATGCAAAAGTACGTCAAGCTTTCAAAGATGCTCAAGAGTCAAGGGAAATTCTATCTACCTTGAACAAGGCTCTTTGCCCAGAAATCGAAGCAGATGAAGGGATTGATGCAGAAGACACGCCACAGCAGTTGGACAATTATACTAGGCAATGGCCTGCAATATGTGCACCACCACAACTGCTGCTTCCATTGGCTCCATCTGCTGTCGAGCCGGGAAATATTCATGTGGGTGGCGTTCTCATCAACAAGGCGCCGGATATTGCACCATTAGATCGTATTAAGAAGAGAGGAAGAGGTCAGAGAGGGCCGGATAATCCTAGAAAGGGTGCCAGGCCCAAGCGCAGATGCATGTTGTGCAAGGGAAAAGGTGAGACTGATGATGCTGCCCGAAATTGTCCAGGTAGCAGACATCGAGAAGACTGCAAACACCTACAAAGATAAAAAGAGTAGCCTGTATTGACTTACCATTTATTCTGCTTAGCCTATCAGTTGCGCTTGTTTTAGTGGTGTTGTTTCAGTTGTGTTGATGGGCGACTGCTCCAACCCAATTTTATTGAAAAAAGTCCACGTCTTTTTTTTAAAGAGTCCCTTTTCTCTAAGCATAAAAAATATCATAATAAAACTGTCGCCACGAACCACCGTTTTCAACTTTTACCGTGGAGTTGGTGTGGAATACATGCTGTCATTCAATTTTGTGTAAATGTAAATTTTACCTGGCTTTTTCATTATATTCAATTTTCTGGTGCGAAACGCGTAGTGTTCCAAAAATAAGTATATGGTGCAATTCAGTTTTCCAACAGGAAAACCAAAAAAGAGAAAATCCAAAACGAGCCGGTTGATTCTACCAGTGAAAGACTGCAATGTTTCACAAAGCTGACGGAATTGTATAAACACTTACATACCGGCGATGATCATTCTCTTTCGAAAGGTTACAGCCATTAGTGGCGAACTCCTTTGCAATTTGAAACTGACAGATATCGATTTCCATATTTGTAGAGAATCGATACCAGGAAATTTATCCTGGCCGGGCCAGAATGACACAATGTGGCGTCTTACGACGCCATGAGAAGCATGCATTGTGTTGCAGGCTGGAGATGATAATCTCGACATTGCGGATCGTCTCTTTTTTTCCCTTTTCCTTTTCCTTCTTTTCCTTCTCTTTCCCCTTCTTTTTTCCCCGGGGGATCTAGTATAAATAGCTGCACCAGCATAGTATAAAAGCCTGCATGCATGCACCTCAAAAAAAGGGCAGTCGTATTGGTCGTACATCAATTACTTTCGTACTATAATTTTATTTTGGCATAGTAAGTACCGGTACAGTTATGTTGAATTGCATGGCATCATAACCAACGACGAATTCTGATAGCTGAGCGTCCTACCTGCCGCTCATCATGTCACCCGATCCCTCAAGCTCAGACTCATCAATGTCATGGGATTCATCAAGCTCCTCAAGTCCCTCCTCAAGCTCGAAATCATCCATGTCATCGGAGTCTTCAAAAAGCTCCTCAAGCTCCTCAGATGATTTCTCAAGCTCTTCAAGTGACGAAATGGATATCTCTGCCTGCTCCCAGGATTATTTACTCAATATTCCTGACGAATTGCTGTTCGAAGCCTACCTGAGGAGGGCAAGCAAGATCAACTACACAGTCTTCGAATTCGGCTACTAGTAAATTCTCTTCTTGAATTTTAGCTCCCTCAGTACTTCTTGGTTTTGTAGTTGGTGTTGATGTTGGTGTTGCTACTTGTCGAACTCCCACATCGTGTATTACCAGAACGTCGCTTCCGCCGCATTCCTTGGAACAGTACCAGTGACCGTCTTCCTTGCTAATTGACATCAACATATTTTCCTGTACACACAAATTGTGGACTCCGCATTTACATTGAATGCAACCATGATTCGGATGGAGAGAATCATGTTTGCACTTTCGGATGCTGCAAAAGCCATTCGAATGTGATACTGCAACTTTGGACCAAACTCTTCTACCGACTAATTTGGCGGCAGTATTTTGGCCACTGGGTGGCAATCCTTTGGCTCTACTTTTTTGTTTGTTCAAACCAACGTTGTGATGAAGGTTATCATCTTCCTCGCTATCAGAGTCTAGTGCAAAAATTGACACGGCATTAGTCATGATAAACTAGTGAAAAGAGCAGAAGATCAAGTGCTATGAAGTCTTTTCTTATTTTGATGTGAATTGTGAGTTGAGGTCTTCGAAACCATTATTGAGAATTGGCCAATCAAAATTGTTCGATTTCAAAATGCACCGTGCATGGACAATCGTCCAGCTTGAGCCAAAATGGATGCAGCTCAAGGGGGGTACCCGGAAGTAACTGTCCAGCGTGGAAAAATTCAGGCTGCATGCATCATTTTTGGTTCGATAACTTCCCGCCTTAGCAAGATTGATTGACAAAGTTCTTCTGATGTCATAAACAAATCAAATGGCATCCAGGGGGGAGCTATATGGGGAAAAACCGAATCAACCAATCAAAACAATTCAATTTGCAATTTCACTGCACCATCTTGATAAAAATAGTTATGAATTCCAATAAAATTAGATAACGATATCAAAAGTCATGGATTGATTTCAGCCAATCCGATAGCGCCGAGATTCTGATCAAAACGACGCACCAAAAAAATTGAAGTGGTATACCTAGTCATTTTCCACAGTCGGCTAGCATCGTCGGCCATTTGATTGTTTGTTCCAGATAAGTGCCCAATACGATGATGTGCTCTTTGTTCCCGCTGTAATCCTGCTGCTAACCGTAATATTCTTGCTCTTGCCTTTCAAGAGATGGAAGATCCTTTTGTGCGCCACGACACTGCTGGTGTGTTGTCACAGCCAGTGTAAGTGGTTTCACCTTCCACCTGGGCTGTCTTTCCAAGAACAAAATGATGGAGAACGGTGCCCTCCAGCTCCAAGCCTGAGTTGGTAAGTTTTCCTGTCAGATTGTGGTCTGAAATGACCTCTTTTTTCACTGCTTCTTGATATGGTCCGCGCAAGACGATGGCCTCTTCACCATCTGTGAACCACACTCCTCCCCTTCCCGACTTTGCCGCATCACAAGCGCCAACGTGTAAGTCAACGCCTGGTACCAGCTCTTCCAGTGTTGTGGGGCTCTTTGCATGGCCATGAAGAAAATTTTGGAAGATTTCCAGTTGCTCACGGACCTCAGGAGTCAACCACACCCTACAATCCACCTGTCAAATCAGTGCATCCTGCAGCAGGGAGAAATGTCCCTCACTGCCCGACATTCCTGGCTGCAGGCTTCGTAAGACTCCTAACACCTGCTGCCATCGTTTCAGGGAGACGCGTTTGCAATCCAAGACCTCACCCAGGAGTGACAGGGCCTTGCTCACTCGTTTCTCTTTCAAGTGCAATGTCTTTGTTGTCGCTCCCCAGTTCCAACCCAAGGCTTCTTTGACTGTGTGCCAAGAGGCATCTCCCATAGCCATTTTTGATTGTGACTGTGGCTCATTTCGCCACTGGTTGTCCGTGGGTCGATTTGGTTGGAAGACCTTGTCAATGTTGTGGCTGAGGACGGCTTATTGATTTGCCAAAGGATTGCTTGGATGGTCTTGGCCCATTCCAACAAAATCGTCCACAAATACTTCCATCTTTTTCAATGGGCGCTGGTACTTCAGTGGCTGGTGAGATTTTGGCCAAACTTTATACTGATGATGCTTCGAAATTTAAAAACATGGGCGAACTTGACGAAGCTGGGGTTGCCATGTCGTTGTCTGAAATCCTCAATGGAATATCAGAAAAGTATAAAGGCCTCACCACCAAAGAAAGTATCCAAAAATTTGTTGCCAAGCTGTTGGAACTTTCGCCAATTGATCATTGGTCTACTGGAGCACTGAATTGGGAGTGCATTCATGATCTTGTTTTCATAGCAAAGGTCCTTTG